TGCAACCAGCACCGAGTCCACCACAGTGACGCGCGAGCCCGGCGGAAATCGGTTCGCCACCAACACACCGCCGCCAGAGCGCGACTCAAGCCCGCTGATCAACACATCGGCGCGCTCTCCAGCAGGCGGGTCGGGCCGCCACCCAACAACGTACAGGCTCGCTCCGCCCACAAACGTGCAGTTTGCCAGCGTCACGTTGCGCACGCTCCCTGACATCGACTCCACGTCCACCACGACGTCCGCCGCAAAGGTCGCACCAACGTAGCACACCACCGACGTCCCGAAACTGACGTTCACCTCCACATTCACACGCACGTCGCGCACGCAAAGGTCGGCGCCGTCGGTGCTCGGTGGCTCGGGGACAGCGACGGGCAGGCACGCATCGCCGTGGCCTCCCTCCGCGCACCTGCAGGCGCAGCCATCACTCGAGGCCGTCGTCGTGTACGCAGGGAAGCACGACGTCGCAATAGTGCATGGGTCGCTGCAGGTCAGAATGGTGGCATTGTACGCGGACGGAATAATGTAGTTCGCTTCCTCAACGCCGTTCACAGTGTTGCACGCGGCCACAATCGCTCCGTTTGTAAGATCGGTTGACCCTGAGAATATCCGCAGCACTTTCGGCGTGCCCGTGCTGGACATGAATTGGTTGCCGGACACAGTCACCGTGGAATCGCGGAGACTCACCGTGGGGTTAAAAAAAGCAAACGCATCCGATGGGGACACGCGGCAGAGGTTGTCGCTCAACTGCAGCCAAGAGTCGTAGTAAATGTTGGAGGATTCGCTTGAGATAAACACAACCGAGCTTCCCTGCATGTCGTTGCCCTGAAACACAACTGCCGACAGAGACTCCACACGTAATGCCAAAATTAGTAATAAAATGTACCTCACCGACCTCGAAACAAGATTGCCTCGGATCACCACGGCAGAGTTGTTCAGCACCTTCAGCGATGAGGATTGGCCAGACCCTTCAAGATATATCAGCGTACCGTCACCGCCAGCCATATGAAACGTGTTGCCTACCACCGCAAAAAGGGAGCGCCACGACACCCTCAGAGAAGATTCAACGACGTAAATGGCGCTTGACAATGCCGTCACGGTCTGAAACACATTGCCGCTCAGAACCACCGCGGAGTCATTGCTGATCGCCAGCTCATTCATCACAACACACGACGGCTTCCTAAGGCCCAATCCCGACCGAGGGATCAGCCTCGTGACCGAAAAGCGGTTCCCGCTGATCGTGATGTTCGTGCGCGGTGGAAACACACCCTCCGGACTGAGCAGCGCGTCACGAAACGTGTTGCCGGTGACGACAATGTTCAACGACCCCACAGCGGCATAAGCGTTGCCCAACAGCAACAGCACAGCGCCGTCCCTCCACGTGCATCCATCGAACATGACATTCACCACGTCGCCCGTCATCGCCCCAATCAGCACCGTCAGGCTCATGCCGCCCCCGCTGAACGTCACGTTGCGGTAGCACAGCCACGACAGCCCGCCACCCAAAGACTGTGCAACCTCGGGGTACACCATGTCGCCGATGCACTCACCAACAGACGGTGGTGGCAGCGTGGGCCGCAGTGGCGGCGGTGGCGGTGGCGGCGGGCCAACAGGCACAGGCGCCGGGACGCACACATCGCCGTGCCCTCCAGCAGCGCACTGGCACTTGCAGCCAATGACCGCCGTCGTCAGCGGGGCAAAGCAGTCGCCGTCCTTCGTGCACTCCCCGCACGCGGCAACCGTCGTCACGTTATTGATGCCATGGAGCTCCAATTCAGCCGCCGTCGTCACCTCCCGTCCCGCGACCGTCAGGCACCCAGCAACAAGCCGGTAGCCGGCGTCAGACTGCGATAGCAGAGACTCCGAAAACCCCGTCGAGCCCATCTTGCAGCCCGTCAGCGTCACCACACTGCTGCTGTCAATGCTCATAGCAAATAATGGGGAGTAACGGAACATTGCACCCACTCCCACGTTGTTGTCGCGCCAATCAAGCCAGCTTGACCGCTGGACGGTCCACAAGTTAGATGCATAAATGGCGTTGGAAACAGGACCGCTGTTCGCCACAACGCGCAACACGCCGTGATCCGACACGCTGAATTGTTGCTTCTGATACAAGAAGCT